TTTATGACTAGACAACTCATTCTATTTTCTCCTAATGAGGGTAAAGGTCTAAAACTCAGTTATATGGTTCTGAGGTTGGCTGGTAGTCAGGTTTCCCAAACTTAGTTGTAGCTCTCAGAGAGGTTGATTCCATGAGCAGCTGAAAAATATCAAAGTGTTAACAGTGCCATGTTTCGCATGGATGGTGTCCCTGTTTGTTCTTTTGGTGTGCATTTGGAGCACTTTGTTACGGCTTAGGGTTTATTAATAGTAACGAGGCAATTGCTTGGGCTATTTAGCAATGTACTGAGTACTATCTATGCTTCGAGTCAAGTTCTTTAATAAATTTAAAAATGACTAAAGTACTAAAAAGTATAAAACACAAAAAACCATTGTCATCACCAAGTTCTCTAAACCAATTATTCACTAATATTTGTGGTCTTCAAAGTAACTTTTCCTCTGATGAGTCTTATCTCTTATAAAGTTCACCAGACCTACTTGCTCTTTGTAAGACTATTTTCTCATCTTGTGATTTTTGTGTTGATGATTAACTTCCTTTAATTCGTAAAGACTCCAATAGTCACACGCTTGGCCTGGGCATTAACATTCGTAAGAATTCACCCATTTGTCGGGATAATAGGTTTGAATACACTGACTATTCTTTTATTTACTTTTGCTTAATACCACTTCACTCTATCACCTTTCTCTTTGTTCTATATCGCTCTCCTTTATCTCAAGAATGCATTCTTTTTGATGTTATTTTTGATCATATTGACCAACCCCTCTCTCTTTATCCATTAGCCAATATCATTGTTGTTGATGACTTTAATGCTCATTACACAGAATGGCTTGACTCTAGTGTCAGCGTTAAAGCCCACTCCTTCTGCCTTTCTCAATCCCCAACTCAAATAGTCAACTTTCCGACTCACTTTCTAGATAACTCAAATTATTTACTTTCTCTATTCGTCTTATATCTTGTTTCTAATCCTAGTCAGTGCTCATTTTTTCAACATTCAACCATAGGTGCTTCTTATCACAGTTTGATCTCTCTAAAACTATTATCTCATTCTTCTCCATCATCCCAATCCCCCTATCTTTGTACCTTTTACAACTACCTTAAAGCTGACTAAAACTTTTTCCGTGATTTTCTTCGTGATGGCCTTTGGGTAGAAGTCTTTCTTCTTTCTGTTGACAAATGCACATCTTACATAAGTTTTTTGATTCAAGCTGGCATGGAATGTTTTATTCCCTCTTGACAATTCCAGATCAAGTCTCACTCTTCTCCATGGTTTTTCTCACATTGTGCTGCTACAATTGCCAATCGAAACCGTTACTTCCATATCGATCAACAAAACAATTCTCCAGACAGACGTTAAACATACGTCTGTTTATTACTGCTAGACGTTATAAACAGACGTCTGTTTAACTAGACGTTAAACATACGTCTGTTTATTACTGCTAGACGTTATAAAAAGACGTCTGTTTAACTAGACGTTAAACAGACGTCTGTTTATTACTGCTGGAATCCATTATAAAAAGGTTTTGTCTAACGCCAAAGCCGCTATTCTCAGGTCATGAAATCTCGTATTTCATCACAAAAATTAGGGTCTCGTGATTTCGTGAGAATCTTTAATAGTATCGATAATAAGAAAAAATCTGTTATTCCACCTTTCTTGTATGATTCAGACTTTGTCACCTCACCTAAAGACAAAGCTGAATTATTGACTAAGAACTTTTCATCAATATCATCTCTTAATTCCACTAGTTGCGGTCTACTTTTTTTAACCGTCAAATAGGTTGATTCATTGCTTGACATTCGTATCCCTCCAGCTTCTGTATCTAAAGTGATTTCCTGCTTAGACTCTTCTACAGCTTATGGCCCGGACAACATACCTGTTTTAGTCTTGCAAAAGTGTTTCCCGCAGCTGTCATCAATACTATCAAAACTATTTAGCAAGTGCTTATCAGAGTCTTGTTTTCCAGGTTTCTTCCTATCATATGAAAGGTTTTTGAATCTTTAATTAATATACGCTTGATCTCTCTTCTTGAATCTGATAACTTACTTTCTGATCATCAATATGGATTTCAATTTTCTTGTTCTGCAGCTGATTTGCAAACAGTAATAACCGTTAGGTTTTATCGTGCATTAGATGAAGGTGGAGAGGTTAAGGCCTTTGCTCTTGACATTTCTAAAGCGTTTAATTAAATTTGGCATGCTGGTCTTCTCCATAAGCTTTCTTCTTAAGGTGTATCTGTTAACATCTTTAAAATAATTGAATGCTTCTTTTCCAATCGTTGTATAAAAGTTGTCCTCGATTGACAGCACTCTTCTTCTTATTTTGTAATTTGGTAGTATCTCTTGAGCTATTTACTAAAATTCAATCTCGTGTTACTCGTCATTCAATTAATTCTCATCCTTTTTCTGTGACTGCTCCAAAAACTCTTACTCGTCTAGTTTTTATGCTCGAACATCAGTTCTTTGGAATTCGCTTCCTTTATCTTGCTTTCCTGATTCTTATAATTTGCAAACTTTTAAGTTTGCTGTCAATTGTTATCTTGCTCTACAATCTTTATCTATTCTCTTCCTGTAACTTCCAACTCTAATTAGTGGTTGCCCCCACCCCATATCCCGCCGGCCTTGTATATATATATATATATATATATATATATATATATATATATATATATATATATATATATATATATATATATATATATATATATATATATATATATATATATATATATATATATATATATATATATATATATATGTACATATATGTATATATATATATATATATATATATATATATATATATATATATATATATATACATATATATATATATTTGTATATATATGTATATATATATATATATATATATATATATATATATATAATATATATATATATATACTATACATATATATATATATATATATATATATATATATATATATATATATATATATATATATATATGTATGTATAATTGGAGCTTGGAAGCAACATAACCCCAAAATTTTTGCCTAGTCTGCCCCAAACGTGAGAGCAACAAGTTGATAAAATATTTTTTGTACTATTTTTAACTAGACTAATATTCATCGATAAATTTTAAGTTTCATAGTAAAATACTTTAGCGTTCAAAAACTATGACTATATAAAGTTTAAACCCCCCTCAATTTGAGGGGGTTGCAAATTTTATATTGTTATAATTTTTGAACACTAAAAAATTATACTATAAAACTTAAAATATATCGATGAATATTAGTCTAGTTGAAAATAGTACAAAAAATATTTTATCAACTTGTTGTTCTTACGTTTGGGGCAGACTAGGCAAAAATTTTGGGGTTTGCTCCATGTTTGGAAGTTAGCTATCTCAAAAACCAAAAATTACTAGCGCCGGCCCTGTATATATATATATATATATATATATATATATATATATATATATATATATATATATATATATATATATATATATATATATATATATATATATATATATATATATATATATATATATATATATATATATATATATATATAATATATATATATATATATATATATATATATATATATATATATATATATATATATATATATATATATATATATATATATATATATATATATATATATATATATATATATATATATATATATATAGTAAATTTTTACAAGTAAAGTCACTAATTTTCTGCAACTAAGCATTTCACAAATGCAATAAATTTCAAAGGTCATAAACATTTTATAAACACAGCAAACTTTAAAGGTTGAAATTTAGAATCAGTAATCACCACTAACAAGTTATAATATAAAATGTAAACTCTATTTATTGAAATATTAAATAATAACTAAAAAAAAAAAAAAAATTTTAGTGAGGTGATGTTTACTTGGTTTGTCCCACAAAAGTGAGCGGATGTATTAACTATGAGCTATTGGTTATATTTTGAAAGAACCGTTTATATAATAAATCCCGATTAAAAAACGTTACACATGTTTACCATACACAGTTGTAATTTTCTCACATGTGTGTCTTATGTAGGTATTTATATTGTATGTAATACATACTCAATATATACCTACATAAAACACGCAAACTTATATTTGTTTATAAAAAATACGTATAATTAGACAAGTGTCTATGTACTTGTATGCTAAGATATTTATGTGGATGTTAATACATTTTATGTACATATGTACAATTTTCACATCATATATTTGTATGTTTATATTGTTTGGATGTTCATCCGAACAATATAAACATACAAATATATGATGTGAAAATTAGACAGTTAACCCAACTCATTGTTACAATTATTATATTGTTATAGTAATCTATCAATGTGTTGGTTTAATCAGCCAATTTTTAAATAATGGTCATCAGCTTTTATATTAATTTTTTTTTGATTCACTCCCAAGCAACCACTTGCTGAGATTCATTAGAAAAAAAGATTGGAGTTATAGAGCAAGGAAACAGGTTGACAGAAAAATTGAAAAGTTGTAGATTGTATGAATCAGGATAATGTTGTCCAAATGATGAGTCAAACAACAATAAGTTTTGGTAGATGGACTTACTTTACTAAATCAAACTGCAGCAGATCAAAATCTGTTTAAATTCTCTGTTAATAACAAAATTTCACATTTTTAAAGAAATTCAGTTAACTTAATATTTTTTTAAATGAATGCTTTTATGTCTTTATTATGAAATAACCCAAAATTTTGAAATTTATTTTAATAAAGTTTTTATTAGGAGCTTCCTAAAATTCATGTCTATTTAAATTGTTCGTAACATCAATATTTTAAAAACCATTGTGAGAAATATAATAAAAAGTTGTCATTAAAATGATTTTAATTTAAAAAGAGTATAAATTTTAAGAAAATAAAATCCTAATATTTAAGAACACATTGTAATACTCTTAAGTTTGGTGTTTACAACATACTGCTGTTTAATAAGTGTCTGAAAAACATGAAATAAGTTAATGTTAAAATATTTATATTATTTTTAGGTAAATTATCTAGAGCTAAAGTTTTATTTGTTAGAAATGGAGTCATAAATATTAGGATGACTTCAATAATTCGATTTACTCCTCTGTCTGGTGCACAAGATGAAGGACCATTGTGTTATCTTTTGCAAGTCGATGAATTTAAATTTTTGCTTGATTGTGGTTGGGATGAAAACTTAAGCCAAGATGTTATTGAAAATATTAAAAGGTAATTTAAAATGTCGATACTTTTATAAAAATAATGTAGTTTTTAACTTTGCTGTAACCCTTTCACTCAAAGCTTTTTATATAAACAAAATTTATTTTCTTTGGTCATAAAGATAACTAAGATTCAAGTATTAATTTGGAGCCATTAGGAGTGTTTCAAAAACAAGTACTTTCAGAAAACAGCTACTTTCTGTTTTTCATGAAGTTTATAACTAAATAGTCTAATTTGTAGCATTATTTTTTATTTTAGTCAAATTTAAGGAACAGGAGTGAATTCAGAGATTCGTCCAAAAGGCCTGTTCGAATCTGATTCGAAAGGCATGATTGAAATATGCAAAATTTGGTGAAATTGAAAAACTTTGCCATCTGTGGATGTTAGTTTAATTGTAAGGAGAGCCTCATACAATTCAACCAATATCAAGCTTTGCTTTAGGTTTCTTTTCTGTTAATGACATCCTTCTAAATCTTCATTCACTACTTTGTTCCATTTTAAAAACTCAGAAATCATTCAATAATCAAACTGTTTTTTTAAATTAAATTTTTTTTTTCTTAATTTTTTGTTAAAAAAAAATATGAAGATAAAAAAATCTTAAACACTTGAATTAAAGTGTTTTTACAATGCTGGTATAGTTTTCGGAGCTATTATTTGGAAAATGTGTCTAAATGAAGTGATAAGTGCTAGCATTTTTAAAACTTTGAGTGAACACTGTCATTGTTAAAAAAGGAATAATTTCATTAATCTTTTCAAATTTATAAATTTTTGTCTTTTATTCACAATACCTAATTTTATATTTAGTCAGGCAGGGTAGTTACCTAACAAAATCTAAAGTAATCTCTTATTAAATGTTACTTTGGTATTTATATAACAGTTTTTGAAATGATTCAAAGTTTCTAGTTGCAAAGATGTTAATGAAATAAAGTAAATCCCATATAAATACCCCCTGAAATAACTATAGTACAAAATATTTTATTCATACTCTCAAAGATCCTACTTTGAGTTAATCATATTTTTATTAATGTTTATTATTTTTTAGTTATTATTATTATTTTTGTATTATTTTAGTTTTTATTAATGAGCAACTTAATAGTAATGGTCATTTGTGAATGGACTCACGGATGCACGGACTCACAGCAGCCATCAGATCTGAGTTAATTGTGAGAAAGAGTCACAGCACTTTTTTTTATAAGAAAATGTAAATGAAATTGTATGCAAATATCTACTAAATAAACTTCAAATTATGTTAAAAGTTATTAAGTTTTTCTTTTATTTGAAAATTACATTGTGGCAATATCTCTTTAATTTTGATTAACAGCAACTATTTGCAGTTTTATAAAGTTATACAATCTTTGTTTATTAAATAGTATTAAAATTTATTAAATTAGCGTGCCTTAGTGGTTCAAATCCTGTTGCAATTCATTTTTTTTTTCAATTTTTTTCAATTTTTTAAAAAACAAAACAAAAAATTATTAAAGTTCTTTTGATCTTATATGCATAACATATATAAAGAGATTATATACTAAATCAAAAAAAAGTATGAGAACTTTTAAAATAACATTAAAATTCTACAAACATCAAAACAAAAGAAGAAATTTTTTGCGCATGCTTCAAAACAGAGATATGTCAAGATAGAGATAGAGGTGTTATTAATATGCTTAGATATTAGTTAAGTCTACACGCTGCACATTTAACACACATTAAAGCGACAATTTTTTTTTCTCATAGGAAAAAAGATTTTATATTCAAGATTTCTTTTCTTCAAAACTAAGTAACGGGGCAAGGATCCTAATATGCTGTGGATGGTCTAAAAAAAATTTATAAAAACATAATAGAAACTTAATAAAGATAAAAATTAATAAATCTTCCCAGTTTTTTTTTTTTAGATGTTTCAATTCTTGCAATTCGAAGTTATAAAGTCCATTATTCAAAATATTTTTAAGTTTATATCCATATGCTTTTGAAACTTTTTTATTCCAATTGTAATTAATGAACACATTTCAAGCGAATATTAATTTTAGATAGAGGTTTGCGCACCAGCTTTTAAAATATTTTAAAGGTATTATAAAATGTTTTTTTTATAACTTTAAAGTAGAAAATATGTACAGTTTTTCTATATGTATATATAAAATAATTTTTCTAATGCTTGCTATAAAATATTGAAGTAAATAATAAGTATAGAAATGGTTGGTGTGGAATAGACTAAGACTGTATTTTACAGGTACGAACGGCAAGTTATATTTAAAATTATTTATAAAACTTTCAAACGGCATACTTTGCTTTGGTTTTGCTATTTCAAAAGTTTGATGAGTTTTTGAAGAATTTATTAAATTAATCATTCGTTTAAATAAAAATAGTGTGTTTTTATTGTGTTTTACCTTTATGTTTTAACTACTATGTTTCTATGTTTCTGTAGACATGCACATTCCATAGATGCAGTTCTTCTGTCTCATCCAGATATATACCATCTTGGTGCTCTTCCATATCTTATTGGAAAATGTAATTTAAATTGTCCAGTTTATGCAACAATTCCAGTATACAAAATGGGACAAATGTTTCTTTATGACTTTTACCAGGTAAATTAATATTTAATTGAAATAAAAACTAAAACTATTTGTGAATGGCTTTTATGAATAACAGGTCTTGTTATAAAGCATCAGACAAAGAGCCTTTTTCTGTACGCAAAGAACGATAAAACATTGCGCTATGTTGTTTATGTTATGCTAAAAAAATTTTCGTTTGATAATATTTATAAATACATTTAAGTGTTATTTTTATGAAATAGTTAATTAAAAAAAAAAGGTATATTAATGTAAAGTATTTAACATTTAAAAAATTGTACTGTGACAAAAGTTTAAACTGCAAATACATAAAATATGTTCATTATTTACATATATAATAAATTCAGATAACATTGAAAAAATAAACTACTTTATCGAAATATCAAAATAATGAGATACTCAGTTACAGAAGAAAAAACTCATCTATTGATTAATACTAAGGTTGAAAATTTCCAGAAATTTTCTGGGAAGATTTGCTTGAAATTATATGCAATAATATCATCATAGTATTTGGATATTCTTTAAATATTTTAACCAAAAATTTTAAATAATAAAGACCAAACAAGCAAAAATACACATTTTTAAATCAAATTTTTATAATCAAGTTTATCAATTTAAGAATAGCGCATTTGTTAAAAATGCAATTAATGTTGTTATATATTACTTTTATGTATTTTACTTTTGTAAAGAATTGAAAGTAGATGTTTTTTGTGTTAGCTTGTCTTTTGAGCTTGGGTATAACATATTTCTAGCTTTTACTTTTCTCAACTACGATGTAGAATAATCACAAAAGACAAAGAATAAAATCTTTTTTAGATTAACAAATTTTATTGTGTATTATTTTTGTAGTGTTTTAAAGAAACAAAGATTTTTATGTGTAAAAATTACATTTAAGTTTTTTTTATGAAAGGTACAATGCACTAGCTGATTATAATAACTTATTTAAAAATGAATAAAGTGTTCACGAGGCGATTGGTGTAAATAATAGTTTAATGTAAATAGTTGTTTTATAAACGTCTCTAAGCGTCATATATTGACATTAGAGATTTCCTTTGCTAATGAGGCAATTAGCAAATTTTGTATATAGATCATTATAAAGTTAGAAAATACCTATAATATCTCTCTTGGGGAAATATTATATGGTATAAATAATCGTGTACAAACTTATAAAGGAGGCGTTTTATTTTAGTTAGAGATTAACATTAAAACCGAAATATATAATGCTAAAATAAGTCACGTTTTATTATTGGGTTTAATACGTCCTACGCGCTTTCACACAAATATTTTGGTAACAGAGGGTAGTTATTTAACAATCAAACACAACAATGAGCGATATTGAAAGTGAAAGTGAGTTGGAAGAAGTTCATCATATTCATATGGATCAGCTAAAACGAGCTAAAGCGAAGACAAAAGCAGCGTTTATGAGAACGAGAAGAACGCTAATGGAATTACTTTACTCCGACCTTCCGAGCAGAAATGATGTTCGTGAATGTTGGGAAAAGCTTGATGTGGCACAATCGGCTGCAACAAAGACAATGGATGACCTTTCAGTTGAATATCGGAAAAATAACGAATTCGAAATGGTGACCAAGGCGAGAATGACCACAAGAAAATGGATTTCTAATTCAAAGACAGTGATGGAATGCATTCCTATTGAAGCTAGAGCAGCAAAAATAAACATAAACATGGAGAATTTACCTACAGTGAAAACACTGGGCGTATCTTGGGAAGCAGCCGAAGATATGTTTACATTTAGTTACACTCTACCATCAGAACCAGTTATGAGTAAACGACTGCTCTTAAAATACATTTCAAAACTCTTCGATCCACTTGGATTCTTGTCTCCTTTCGTTATTCGAGCAAAAATAATATTTCAAGAACTATGGACGTCAGGAGAAGATTGGGATGAAACGCTACCAGACAAAATAAAACAAAAATCGGATATCTGGTTTAACGAGCTGACAAGTATTCACCAATGTAAAATACCTCGCTGTTTACGTATCAAAAACAATGATAAAATCATTTATTCAATTTTTCACGTATTTGTTGACGCTTCACAAACTGCTTTTGGAACAGTATGTTATTTAGTTCATGGTTATGAATTTGGTGGAATGTCAAGTTCTTTTGTTTCATCAAAAACTCGTGTCGCTCCATTAAATTTAGTTAGCATTCCCAGATTGGAGTTAATGAGTGCAGTATTAGGATTAAAGCTTGCGCTCTCCGTCGTAGAAGCTTTGCCTTGCACAATAAAAATGGAGAATGTTATATTCGGGTGGGATAGCTTGAATACGTTATCCTGGATTAAAAATCCAAGTAAAAGATTTAGGACCTTACTTGCAAACAGAGTTAGAGAAATCCAATCTCATTCAAATCCGAAACAATGGCGTTACGTACCGACAGGGAAAAACCCTGCGGATTTGTCATCTAGAGGAGTAAATATAAACGACTTACAAAAAAGTTACTTGTGGTGGACTGGGCCTGATTTCATTCAACAAGAGGAATCCCAATGGCCAACCAAGGAATTTAAAGAAATTGAAGACAAATTAATTCTAGAAGTAAAGAACACTTATACTTTGATGGCTATTAAATCCGAAGAAAATGGCGATGACTGGTGATTGGAACCAACCCGCTACTCTAGTTGGAGAAGGTTAACACAAGTTTTAGCCTGGGTAAAAAGGTTCCAACATAACTGTTTTAAAAAATGTTTGTCATCAGGAACACTCTCAACGGAAGAAATTAACGATGCAGAAACAGAATTAATTATAAATGCTCAAAAGAAAACATTCGTGGAAGAGTACAATCAATTAATAAATAATAAAGGAATTTCAAAAACTAGTTGCTTATTAAAATTATTGCCACAAATAGATGAAAATAAAATGTTAAGATGCGACAGTCGATTAAAAAATGCTGAGTTTCTCTCATTCGATACAAGATACCCAATTATTTTGTCAAGATATAACCACATAACCAAGTTGATCGTAAAAGATTGTCATGAAGCAGGACAGCATATATGTGGTGTAAATCATATCTTGGCGTAGTTGTCTACAAAGTATTGGGTAGTATCTGGAAGAGGAGAGATAAAAAAATGGGAAGCAGGTGTGCAGAATGCAAGCGAAGAAAAGCAAAGTTAGCAACGCAGATTATGGCACCATTACCAACGAAACGTTTACAGTTTAGTATAAAGGCCTTTGAAAGGTGTGCTGTTGATTATGGTGGTCAGTTCATAACCATTCAAGGAAGAGGGAAAAAACGTGCAAAACGTTATTTAGCCTTGTTTACTTGTTTGTCTTCACGAGCAGTTCACCTGGAAGTAGCGTTTGCGTTGGACGCCGAATCATTTCTAAATGCATTTTTTAGGATGAGCAGTTGAAGAGGAACGCCAAAAGAAATGATATCTGACAATGGAGGCAACTTTGTATTAGCAAACAAAGAGCTGCGAAGTTTTACTGATGGCAAAAAGAAAAGAATAAACAAGGCAACAAGCCATGTTGGTATAAAATGGCGTTTTAATCCACCTGCAGCCCCTCATTTTGGAGGAGTTAATGAGATCATGATAAAAGCCGCAAAACGAGCAATTTATTCCCAACTTGGAAATGTGGATATTACTGACGAAGAACTTATTACAGCGTTTGCTGGGACAGAAGGACTTAAATTCCTGACCATTGACTTATCAATCGAGTGATCCTAAAGACTGCACACCCCTTACAACAAATCATTTTTTATTTGGACAATTAGGTGGTAAGTTCGCCGCTGATGCAGTGGATACTACTTCATTTAACCTGAAAAGAAGATGGCGACAAGTCCAAAAATTAATAAAACATTTTTGGCATCGCTGGATGAAAGAATGGTTACCCATGTTTGGACCACGAAAAAAATGGAATATCGTAATAGGAAACTTTTCTATAGGTGACCTGGTATTGGTGTTCTCCGAAAATACTTCAAGAGGCAATTGGCCATTTGGTCGGGTAACTGAGGTTTTCCCTGGAAACAACGGGTTAGTGCGTGTGGCTAATGTTCAAGTTGGGAAGGTTATCTTGAAACGTCCAATAACCAAGTTGTGCCCTCTCGAGCCAAATGAACCAGAAGATGTTGACCATTTGGTCAAAAGGGAGGAGTATGTTCAGGAGGCGATTAGTGTAAATAATAGTTTAATGTAAATAGTTGTTTTATAAACGTCTCTAAGCGTCATATATTGACATTAGAGATTTCCTTTGCTAATGAGGCAATTAGCAAATTTTGTATATAGATCATTATAAAGTTATAAAATACCTATAATATCTCTCTTGGGGAAATATTATATGGTATAAATAATCGTGTACAAACTTATAAAGGAGGCGTTTTATTTTAGTTAGAGATTAATATTAAAACCAAAATATATAATGCTAAAATAAGTCACGTTTTATTATTGGGCTTAATACGTCCTACGCGCTTTCACACGAACATAAAGATAAACATTAGAAAACACATTTGATCTGAATATTCAGTAAAATAATGTTAAAATAATTTAGTTAATATAATACTTATAAAACACCCACACGAATCATCCACTTGGCAGTATTGGTTTAAAAATAATTTAAAAATATAGCAATATTTTTTAATTTATTCATTTTATTTGATTTTTTAATTTATTGAATTTATGAACGTCAAAAGTGCTCTGACAAGGTTGTGGCGAGTGAGACTTAAGTCTTAAAAGCAAGTCTCAGATAGACAGAGTTTATAACCTCAAAAAGTTCTTTACTTTTATTGTTAATTATATTTTTAAGTAGTTTAAATTTAGAATAAATGTTTCTTTTTATTTTCTGCTCTCCATTAATTCATTAAATTCAAAGTCATTAAATCAAGAAAAGTTCTCTAGCAATTCATTAAATTCAAAGTCATTAAATCAAGAGTTCTCAAAATCAAAAGTTCTCAATCAATTCATTAAATTCAAAGTCATTAAATGAAGAAAAGTTCTCTAGCAAAGTTGTGTATTTTTTATAGAGTGTTTTAAAGAAACATTTTATGTGTATATAAAA